CGTTTCCTGAAGATAGAAGAGTTTGTTGAATCTGACGTGACATGTTCGTACGAACCCTTTGTACGAACAAAAGTAAGAGAAATTTAGGATAAAAATACGAACATGTTCTTGCATGAGGTCCATTGTATTGACTTCCATTCAGTTTTGTGCCTAACCCCTGACGGGTGACATCAGCAGCTTTTTGTCGCAGGATGATGATGTCACAACAAACGCTGCACAGTGTCACTGTTGGGAGGGCTGTTTGTTTTTAGCATGTAGCATTTCACCGCTTGATGACAGGATGAGTTTGATCTTTCATCACCTGTCATGTTTCATTGAAAAGGCAACGTTTGTAACAGATGGATTTTTATTACAGAAAATATGAAATAAAACTGATAAGAATAACAGTCTAGAAATTAGTTGTTTAGGTCGGCAAGTTTATCTAAATAAATATGCGCACATCATAAATCTGTATTTTATTAACCAGAATGTATGTAATATTAAAATACTTTTAGATTTAGGATTAATATTTATACATAACATTCAAATGTAACAGTTAGTATAAATTAGTAAAATGCTATTGGAACTTTTTAACACTAGTAAGAAATAAAAACAAATATGTTTTTCACATCCATTCTTTATTTTTCACAGCCTGGTTGTGACAGAAAATAAATGTCGAGGAACAGAGAGCGTTTCAGTTCAGAAAAGTTGCATTTCAGTTTCAAACACTGCCAAAAAAATAAAAAATAATACCCAACGCTGCAGCGAAGCTTTCAGTCAGTCTGGATGCATTTCTGCCTTTACTTGGTTTTATTGCCTTTTTCTCAGTGGACATGCTGAATAAATCTACTTCATACACAACGTTTCTCCTCGTATAAAAACCTTTCATTTCCTCCAACGTCCAAAACATCTGGATTTATTTTCATATAGAATCTGCAACCACAGAAATATTCTGAGGGAGATGAAACAAACATTTAAATGAGATTATTTTCACAGAAACTGAAGCGTCCTGTCAGAAATTACAATCTGGGATTTCACTCATTCGTCCACTCAAACTGTTTTTAGTCTGAGAGAGATTAAAACACCCAGCAGCCTCTGTCTGCCTCACTGAAACCAAGAAAATCATGAAAAATAAATTTAAAAAAAATCACCGTCCATTTTCACAAACCTTCATTTTCATTTAATAAAACAAACTGAACATCTGGGAACTGATTTAGATTCTGCAGATTAGTTTCGCAGACATGCAGGCGGCTTTAATCAGGGTTAAACTTCCAGATTCTGACATGATTTTCAGACACTTTCAATAAAAACGTTTATCTGATATGTACAGATGTAAACAAAAGCTGGACGGCGGGAAAAAGATATTTTCTGTGACTTTATTATTAGAATCACACGGTTCAAGTGTTCAGAGGTTTGTTTCTGAGTAATGCAGCGTTTTCTTTTACGACGAAGTATTAGGGCCACACAACGAGTTTTTTATTATTATTACTAGAATAGTCATAATATTACGAGATTAAGGTGGAAATTTTAAGAAAAAAAGTCGCAACGTTACGAGAATAAAGTCATAACATTACGAGAATAAATTTGCAACATTACGAGAATAAAGTCGCAACATTACGAGAATAAAGTCGCAACATTACGAGAATAAATTTGCAACATTATGATAATAAAGTCGCAACATTACGAGAATAAAGTCGCAACATTACGAGAATAAAGTCGCAACATTACGAGAATAAAGTCGCAACATTACGAGAATAAAGTCGCAACATTGCGAGAATAAAGTCATAACATTACGAGAATAAAGTCGTAACATTAAGAGAATAAAGTCGCAACACTGCGAGTATAAAGTCATAACATTACGAGAATAAAGTCATAACATTATGAGAATAAAGTCGCAACATTACGAGAATAAAGTCATAACATTACGAGAATAAAGTCGCAACATTACGAGAATAAAGTCGCAACATTACGAGAATAAAGTCGCAACATTACGAGAATAAAGTCGCAACATTACAAGAATAAAGTCATAACATTATGAGAATAAATTCGCAACATTTCGAGAATTAAGTCGCAACATTACAAGAATAAAGTCGAGAATAAAGTCATATTATGAAAATTAAGTCATAACATTACAAGAATAAAGTCGAGAATAAAGTCATATTACGAAAATTAAGTCATAACATTACAAGAATTAAGTCATGACATTACGAGAATTAAGTCATAACATTACAAGAATTAAGTCGCAACATTTCGAGAATTAAGTCATGACATTACGAGAATAAAGTCGCAACATTACGAGAATAAAGTCGTAACATTACGAGATTAAAGTCATAACATTACAAGATTGACTTTAATTACGACTTTACTTTTAGAATATTATGACTTTATTCTTGTAATTTAAAAAAATAAAATAAATCTCGTATGGCCCTAATACTCCGTCGTATTCTTTAGATGCAACTTATGACAAATAATTTGCATTTATACAGCATCTTCAGGTTTTCACAACAATGTAAACAAAAACAACGGAACTGTGGAAACGACTCGAGACAAATCTTTTTCATTTTAAACTTTAGTTTGATAAAAACAAACATTTTCTAGTTTCATGTTTCTATTTTCTGCAGAACTTAAAGGTGAAACAATATGATTCAAATTAAAAATGTAATCTGGATCAATCTCTGCAGAATAAAACAGACTGAGACGACCTTTGACCCACGCTGCTGGTTCTGTACAAAGACTGCAATGCATCGTGGGATTTTATGTACAGGGTCAATCTTTTTACAGACAGAAACCATGAGGCACAAAGTTTGTTTTAAAATGTTTGCCTTTAGTTTTCAGGGTTTACGTCAGAGAGGAACCAGAACCATTCCCAGTCCCAGTCCTTCCTGAACCCCAGAAACCCGACAGCTCAGACAGAAAAACCTGCTGAATTCACTCCAACCCTCTGGAGACCAGAACAGATAAAAACTGAACACTGGTAAGAATTCATAAAAACACTCGATGGTCCAAACCCGACTGAACCAGAACCAAGAAATAAACCAACATTTGCAGCATCAGAACCAGGCTCCAGAACAAACATTTAGTGAAACAACCCAAACTAACGCTGATGAAAACGTAAACAGTTAAAAGTGATAAAAACATTTTAAATCCCGTCAAAATAAGATCAAATAAAAACATTTTTCTGATAAAATTCTTTTCAAAGCTTTTCTAGTGATAAAAGGGAATGTGTGGATTTAAATATGACACTGGTTAGTTTTGTTTAAAGAATGTAAATCACACATGGTGGAGGGAAGGATGCAGGGGGCGGAGCTACAAATAAAATCTCTTATTTTGAAAATTCAAGATGGCCACCACAGCTGATTTCAAATGTCTCTAACTCGGATGTTTTTAGAGCTACTGAGCTGAAACTTTGTGTCAACTATCCCCACCCCTCCTGTCCATCATTTGAGGGTGGCCAATCAGGGGCCACCTCTCTGGCTCCGCCCCCCTGGAAGGATAAAGGAATGTTTTTCTCCAATTTAACACGTTTCGTTAGAAATCCACAGAAAAACAAAGATGTTTATTTACTGCGAGCGCCAACAGAGACCAGGACAAGAACCACGAATCAAACATCAGAAACTTTCACACGGACGACGTCAGAAAACATCTTTGGCTTCGACATTTGGCAAACGGACTGAAACTCAGACGAAGAGAAGAGGCGTTAAACACACACACACACACACACACACACACACACACACACAC